GTGTCCACCTGCAGTGGGACACCAACCCCTGAGCTGAGGGCCTCCCCTGGGTGTCCACCTGCAGTGGGACACCAACCTCTGAGCTGTGGGCCTCCCCTGGGTGTCCACCTGCAGTGGGACACCAACCTCTGAGCTGTGAGCCTCCCCTGGGTGTCCATCTCTTGTCCCTGCAGTGAGTCACTAAGTCCTAACCTGTGGGCCTCCCCTGGGTGTCCACCTGCAGTGGGACAGCAACCCTGGAGCTGTGGGCCTCCCCTGGGTGTCCACCTGCAGTGGGACACCAACCCCGGGGCTGTGGGCCTCCCCTGGGTGTCCACCTGCAGTGGGACACCAACCTCTGAGCTGTGGGCCTCCCCTGGGTGTCCATCTCTTGTCCCTGCAGTGAGCCACTAAGTCCTAACCTGTGGGCCTCCCCTGGGTGTCACCTCTGCTCTCAGAAGTGTGAGAACCTGTGACCGTTCCCCAGGTAGCAGGAAACCCCGTTGACCCTGCAGATGGTGACACTGTGTCCTTCACTGCTGCCCTCACACACCTGATGTCAGCACTGCAGAGCCTCCACACAGTACCTGGACACTGGACTCAGGGAGGGGAGCTTGCTCTGGGCCGAGGCTCCACCGTGTCACCCGTGGGCTGCCGGCTGCATGCCTCTGAGCCTGTGTGGAGGCAGAACATCATCCCAGGGTCCATGTTTTGGAGGATAGCTGCTCACCTCATGGTGGATGCAAAGAGAGAAGTCTGGGTCCCAATGTCCCCTTCCAGGACAGGCCCCAGTGACTGAACTCCCTCCCGCTGGGACCTCAAGGTCGCACCACCTTCATAGCACCACAGGCTGGTGGCCAGCCCTGCCATTCCGGGCCTTTGGGATCAGCAGACCAGCACCCAGACCCGCCTGCCTGTTCCTCACAAGCTGCTGGGCATTCAGACAGACGTGGTGGTGTGCCCCATGGTCCAGCTACTGGGAGGCAGAGGTAGGATCAGCACATCAAGGTCAGCCTCAGAAACTCTTAGTTTCTAAATTAAAAAGTCAAAGGCCAAATGTGCTCTCTGATATGTGGATGCGAGCAAACAATAGGGGGGAGAGTAGAAGTTGATTGGTTAGACAAAAGGGAGTGAGGGAAGCGGGGAGGATGGGAATGGGAAGGACAGTGGAATGGATGGACATCGCTCTCCTCTGTTCAAGTATGAATGCACGACCATGAAACCCCACGCATGCTCAACCACAAGAATGGGATCCCTGTTAGAATAAATCATACTCCACGTCTGTACGATATGTCAGAATGCACTCCACTGTCATGTAGAGCTAAAAAGAACAAATAAAGATGTGTAAATAAATAAGGGCCCGGATGTGGCTCAAGGGTAAAACAGCTCTGTGTTCAATCCCAGGACTGAAGGGCGGGGCGGGAGGGGCTAGCAGCCACCGAGACACTGGTGAGTTCGGGCTTTGGACGGCGTGAGCTGAGCCACGTTGGGAAGCTCCACCTGGGCGTGGCCCTCGTGTGCACCTCCTAGGAGCCAGGCTCTTGGCTGGCCTTCATCCGTGGCCTCCTCCTGACACGCTGGATTCCAGAAAAGTCTGGACAGGTGACCAGGAGCCAGGCCCAGCCCTGCAGGGCTGCCTGGGACCTCTGCCGAGAGTCATCTCAGCTGTGAGAACTGACCGTGGCTGGGAGGGGGCTGAGGTCCCAGAGTCCTGGGGGCCCTCAGGTCCTAGCTTCCTGCCACTCGGGCCCAGGGCTCCAGGGGGCATATCCCTCACCTCCCACGAGCCTCCCCCACCTGACGCTCTCACTCCTGGGTGACCCACGTCAGTGTGAGGGGCAGGACAGGATCTTAGTTTAGCCAGGTGTTTTCCAGAGAATTCTGTTCAGGAGTCAAATACCACATCATATGGAGACCTTCCTGTGGGGGCCAGCTCCTTGCATCTGCTGATTCTAGAACCTTGTGGAACTGAGGGCCGCAGCCCTCTTCTTGGAGATCACGGCAGTGATCAGCAGACTGTCCTGGTAAGAAGTAAGACGCCCCAAACGGTCCCAGGGCCAGGTGGTACAGCAGCGGGGCCTCACAGGCGCTGCCCAGGGAAGCTGCCCACCACCCAGGGACAGTGTGCCTGAGTGACCTTGTTGAGACACAGGCAGAGACATCCAAAGGAGGTCTCCATCACAGGTGGGAGAGGCCTGAGCTCTGCAGCTGGCAGGCACACAGCTGCAGAAACCATGACCTGGGCTGCGCTGGCTCCCGCTCTGTGCAGGCTGAGGACCGTGTGTGCTGCAGCCTGACCCTCAGCATGCCGCTCTGTGCCAAATCCGCATCTCAACTCCAGCCGAGCCCTGCACCTGCCTGCAGCCGTGGCGGGAGGCCACAGGACCTGGCCACGGCTCTGCACGCAGGTGATGTAGGCGGGAAGGCAGCTCCCTGGTCCTGTCTCCTCAGAGCGTGAGGCCGGGAGAGTCCCAGGAGGGTCCAGTCCCTTGGCAAACCCCTGGGGGAGCAGACTGCCCCAGCAGGAAGGGCAGTGAGTCTGGAGCACGTCCTCCTCTGTGTGCACCATGCCTGCGGACCGTTCTCTCACCTGCCGGACCCAGGGCCTGGCCTGGCTGGGGCAGAGCTGAGCCTGGGGTCTCAGAGCGTTTGCCGACCTGGATCACAGCAAAGGCCTGCGTGGGGTGCAGGGCCATGTTGAGCGCCCGTGGCCTTCACCAGCACCACAGGTCCTCCCACCCCCTAGACTTGACACAGGGAGGGGCCAGGCACCTTCCGGTGACCACTTAGGCTCTGCCTGAACTCCCAGCCCCCACCCACTGTGGCACCAGGGATGCCACCAACTGAGCCAGAGGGAGCGGCCTCATGGCACCTTCAGGATCCGACCGAAATGTCTCCAGGAGGCTGGAGACAGACTGAACAGGGTACAGTCTCTATGGGCAGGAGACTCCCCGAAACAGGTTATGGGACACCAGCGTCCCAGTTGCCTTCCACCGTGGACCTGGGTCAGAAGGAGCACAGTTCCCTCCTCCCCACAGCCCCCAGAGCCAGGTGACCCATAAGAGGCAGACTGTGGGAGACCCTTCCACACACCTGACAAATGGAGGACGAGGACAGCCCACAGACCCTTCTGTGAGTCCTTGCTCTGGCTAGACGCATGGCACCCGAACTCACCCTCAAGGTGCAAATGTGAAGGCTGAGCCAGGTGCCTCCCGACCTCGGCCGAGGGCCGCGACCTCCCCCAGAGCTGGGAGACTTAGCTGAGCAGCTTCTAGGTTGTTGCTAATGCAGAATTACCTGCCCGGTGACACAGCGGCCTGTGCCCCCTGAACAGGGCCAAGCCAGCAGGGGACAGCCACCCCACAGCCCTCTGCACACTCACCGCCAGGAGCCAGGTTTTCTTCCAGCGATGCGCCAGTCTGCCAGAGAAAACCGGGGAGATGCGCCAGCAATGAGAGCCGGAGTTCTCTGGGACCCTCAGGCAGAAGCCAGGGCCAGAGAGGAAGTCAGAAACAAGTGCCCCAGCAGGACTCCACTCCAGGTCCCCGGAGGCTCCCGCCTGCAGCCAGGCCAGGGCAGGGACGGAGCCGGACACCTGTGCTGGGGTGTCTGTGAGGTCTGGCTGATTCACCAAAGCCCCGTCGCCGCGTCTACCTACAGGACCAGCACCTCGCCACACCGGTGGACTCCGTCTCCTCCTGGCGCTCTGACCAGGTTCACACTGACATGCCCCGTCACGAGACGGCTCCTAGGTGTCATCCCAGCTGCGGGCTCCGTGACCTCCTTCGGTTCTGACCAGGTTCACACACTTTGTGAGACCTCGTGACCCAGCTCCTGTGTGCTGCCGTCCTCTGGAGTCTCCTCAGTCCAGAGAGAGCAACCCTGCAGCCCTGCCTTGTGGCTGGGACAGACCTGCCTGGTGCCTGGTCCAGACAAGGGGGAACCCAGAGTCTCACCGTGCCCCTGCTTCCTTTTCGAGCTCTACCCGTGGTCTCAGTGTCATTTCCCAATCCAGTGACATTACTTTATGCCAGGGGACTGGGGCCTTGGAGAGCAACAGGAAGATGAGCAGGCCATGACAATGGCCTCAGAGCCACCTGTGCTGAAGAGAAGAAGGTGAGGCCCTGCCCAGGGGGCCTGGGACCTGGCCTGTGCCCTCTCAGGGCCTCACTCCTCTGTGTGTCCAAGGGGCCTGCGGCAGGCAGGCACCCCACAGCAGAAGGAAGACTGAGCCCTGGCCCTCCAGGGTGAGGCCTGCAGATGCAAAGCGCCAGCAGTGGCCTGCGCCTGGGATCAGAGAAGGGGCGGCCCCGAGCCCTCCCCAGCACTGGGCAGGGCCAGCACAAAGCTTCCATTCACTGACAACTGTGCACTCTCTGTGGCTTTTCTCTGGTCCCAGGGAGCCCTGTGTCCTCCCTGTTCCCATGCTGAAGTGGCAGCTGTACCACACACCTTTGTGTCGCCGTCCACTGCAGAAGGGGCTGCGGATCTGCAGACTGGCTGACTTCAGGAGTGGTTGCCCAGGGCCCCTGACACCAGTGCCTCTCCAGGAAGAAGAGTGCAACACACTCAGAGCACTTGCAGGAGGGGTGGACTTCAAGGCCACCAGGCGCCACCGAGCTAGCTCCCTAGTTGCTAGATTGTCGTAGCCCAGTGAGGATCACAGGTATTTTTCAGTCCCAAAGCCAGAACATGAAGCAGGGCCTCTATCTCAGTGTCAGGCTTGCTTGGCTCGCGCAGGGAGCTCGGCTGGCAGCCCGTCCTCTGCTCTGCTCAGGGCACAGCTGCTGTCTGGCGCTGGCGGCACTCCCTGCGCCTGCCGCTCTGCTGGGCTGTCTGCCCGGGTGCCATGCTGCTGTGGCGGCTGCCCAGCCAGCTCAGTGGGCTCCTCGATGCCTTGGCAGGCTCGCTTCCTGCCTGCGGTGTCCCCTCACTGTCCCTCACTGTCCCCTCACTGTCCCGCTGGCTCTGTGGTTCCAGACATGCCGTGGCTTGAGCAAGTGCCCTCCACCCTGCACAGGAGCAGAAACTCTGATCCTGAGTCCACAGATTTTTCAGCAAAATCAGCTGGATTCTCCACCAAATGTTACTTGTAGGGCAGACACTGTTTCTTTCAAACCTTTGCTAGAAAGTTTGACAACGTCGGGCAGGAGAGGTTAAGATCTGTGAAAGACCTGATATGGTGGAATTTTGCGTGAGTGAACTCCATTAACCAAGCAACCAGCCAATCAACATTCACGAGAACCGGGTGGCCGTGAGGATGCAGGCTGGAGAGCACATGCAGATGCGGGGAAAGGCAGAGGCCCACCATCAGAATGCCCCTAGTCTGTGGCCCCCCTCATGTGTCTCTCCTACTGTTGGTTCACGCTGCCAACCAGACAGACGAGGCCAGTGGACTGGAGGCAGAGACTTCTCTGCTGGCTTCTGAGGTGGGGGGCTGGATCATCCATGCCAAGTCAGAGGCCTCAGCCGGGAGGGACAGGGCTGAGCACATCTGTGGTGGAGAAGTAAAGGCAGCCCTTGTGTGGAAGCCAGGGCGCTGGTCTCTCTTGAGGGAAAGAAGCACTAACTGAAAATCTCTTAAATCGGTGCAGCCCTGGGGTGAAGTCACCCACAGGCCGGGAGGAGGGCCACCCCAAGCCTGCGCTGCTGCTCCCTGCCCACTGGTCAGCCACCCTCTGGATGGGCAGGGCTGGTGGGAACCTGTCCTGAACACCTGGACCCTGGCACACGAGGAGGGTGGGCAAGGAGCCTGCCGCAGGGGCAGAAAAGCCCTGCTGGGTGGTCTTCACAGGAATACGTGCACGGGTTTCTGCTCTGTCAGTTGCTGACCTTAGAAAGACCATTGTTTTCCCATCAATCTGCTTCCCACAGCGCTTAGAGCCACGTGGGAAGCGTTGTTCAAGCCCCATGTGACACACTCTTGGCATAAAATCAGCTCGCATTAAGACAAAGCCAGCGAGTGACCACTCAGACCAAGGCCAGCAGCTGGGAGCACCTGGAAGGAGGAAGGGCTGGATGGGTCCTGGCCCCTGCAGCCCCCTCCTCACCTGTGCTCTGGCTCCAGGACCCCCAAGGGTCCTGGCCCCTGCAGCCCCC